AAAAAGGTAGGTTGAGGCCAGAGTGTGAAAGGCTTTAAAAACTAAACAGGAATTATTATGTTTGATGCTAAGGCAACAGGGAGCCACTGAAGTTAATTGAGTAGGGGAGTGACACGGACATATTGCATTTCAGGAGAATTTCACTGTCATCTGGGTGGAGGATGAGGCAGGGAGACCAATTTAGAAGGGGCTATTCAGGTGGGAGGTGATCAGGGTTCAAACCAGGGTGGTGGCCATGTGAGCAAAGAGAAGGGGACAGATGCAGATGTGCTCACATCTGTTTCACTTTACAATTGATTCTCTGTCAGGGAAGCAAACCCAAAGCACAGAAAGATTCCTTCAGCCTCTGGGAGCCTCTCACATGGACACACACTGGTAGCCTCCTTATTTGGACGAGAAGCTGTTCCTTAGCACCTGATAGTTCTATATGAGGAACGAGTCCAGCCTCCTTCAGCCTGCCTCCCAGCCCAGTGCTCATGAATAAATCCACAGACTGGGTCCTCTCCTAAGGGCCTAATGGAACTCTGTATTCCACTTCTTCATTCCCAGTGACAATAGTTTAGTCTGGGTCATCATTACCACCCACCTGGACTATTGTAAAAGCTTCCTTACAGATCTCTCTGCCTTCATTCACTCTCTGTCTCCCCTCCAATCAGGTCTTCAAATAACAGAGAATAATCCTTCTTATGTATATTTTTGGCCACGTCATTCTTCTGCTCAAAAACATTTAGTGGCTCCTTATTACCTCCAAATTAAGAGACAATTTCTCTGTCTTGCATTCAAGTCCCTGTGGTATGGTCAAGGCATAGGACCAGAGAACTATTACTTCCCACCTCCTACCTATCCCCTCTCCCCTACTCCACCCAGCCCTTGTTTTGAATACTCTGCCTCACTTGATATAATTTAGGACTATTTTAGGCTCCAGGATAAAGTCATCCAGTTGGTGCCATGGTTTGAGGACATTACCTCCCTCTCTAAAAGTCCCACCCTTAGTATAACACCAATGCGGGAGGGCAATGTCAGTGCCTGGCACCTGGTAGGTTCCAAATAAATGCTTATTCCCTTCCCTTCCCCCTAAGAAGTGGTCCATAGGTTTCACTGAACTGTTAAAGAGGACAATGAAACAAAAAAGGTTAGTGTCTTAACCCCTTACTAAACTGTGAGCTCTCTAAAGGCAGAGATGGTGACATATCTAAACTATGTCTTTTCCAGCTCTCCCTTCACAGTGCCCTTTAATAGAGGCTGAATTAATTTGTCAAGTGGCCCAGCTCGTCTTCTTGAGCCCCTCCATTTGTATGAGGACCAGCTGCTCCCAGGGTCTTTTAAATGCCCACACTTCCCCCAGTCTGCAGGAGATACCCTGGGAGCCCGGGGTTGTAGATTTTTAAGAGCCAAGAGTTAGCGAGAACTATTGATTGCTGGGATATTTAGAAGAAGCTGGCATTTATAATAGTCACAAGGTCTGGAGTTGGAAGGGATTTTAGCAAGCATCTGTCTGTCCCAACCTCCTGATTTTACAAATGAGGAAACTGAAATCTTGGGAGGGGAAATAACTAACCAAGGTCACACGTGGAGCAAGAGGCAGGGTTGGGACTTGAATCAGATTTTCCAACTTCAAATCCAAGGATCTTTTTACTATATCATGAAGGGTGAAACCCGAGGGGACAGAAAAAATGGGACCTGGGAAGGAATCTCAGCTGGGAATAGGGGGAGACCAGGCTACTCCTAAGCCCATCAGTTAGGAGTTCAACACAGGCAGCTCCTCACTTAACACTTTACAAATGGTCCCCACTTAGTGCATTCTGCCCCCTTATTCTCTCTTATTACATTCTTTCTTCCCCAATCCCCAAAGCTTCAGCTTTTGCAAATAATCTTTTTTTTTTTTTGGTGAGGTAATTGGGGTTAAGCGACTTGCCTGGGAGTCAAACAGCTAGTGAGTGTTATGCTGTCTGAGGCCAGATTTGAACTCAGCTCCTCCTGACTCCAGGGCTGGTGCTTTATCTACTGCACCACCTAGCTGCCCCAATAATCTTTTCTTTTAAGAATTTTTAGTGAGTCTTTAGGTTTGGGAGTAAGGGGAGAACGAACCAAACAAAAAGTATTAGTTTCAGGGTAATTTCCGGGCTTTCCTGTCCTGTCTTCTACACATTGCAAAATTCATCACTTTCCCTTTTGACCCACTGCCTGAAATTCAATTCTATTCAATAAGTATTTATTAAACATTTACAATGGCATAAGGCATTGTGCTGAGGGCTAGGGTTGTAAGGACATTGAAAAGCAGCGCCTGGCCTCCAGAAGCTTACATTCCTGGTGTGATACAACATTTAAACAGATTTCATATTTGTATGAAATAGAACGCAGCACAGCACCTGACACATAGTAGGCGCTTAATAAATATTGATTGACTGACTGACAGATTAAGTAAATACCATGTCATTTGAGGAAGAGGAGAATACTACCATTCTCCAGTGAGAGATTCATTTGGATTAAAAGATCTCTTAAGATTCAAACTTCCAGGAGAGTTGAGGGACCCTGAGACCTTATCGTGAATTATTTCAGGTTCCTACGAACCTTTGGTTTTCCTCCTTGGCCCCCCTATCCCTATCTCTTAATCCCTATCTCTGCTTCCTATCCACCCCTTCTTTTGCCCAGGACCAAGACCTGAAGCTGGACTTATTAATACAGAGCCATAATGGAGTGACTGTGGATGAACCAGGGGTGCTGTCTAGCCTGGGAACATGACCACTATTGCTTCCACTGGGAAGATGGTCTCTGATTTCCCAACAACTGGTTTACATGTGAACCTTTGGAATTCAGCTCTGCTGACCTGGAAATGACCTGGACTATTCTAAGAGGCTTTTTGGCTACTACACTCCCAATGAAGAGAGCAAACTGTCGCATCCTCAGCAGGGCCCAGGGACAGGGTTTCCGCAAAGTTAGCCTCCCTGAACCCTGAAAGGAAAACAATTTTTTGGTCTCCCTTTTGTGTTTCTGTTATAATTTGAGACCATTTCCTAGGCAGAGCTGTGGCACTCCCTGCAGAGCTTCACCGAGGCCCTGATTACAAAGTCAAATGCAATTGTTCTAATAGCAGCCTCGCCGCCAGTCTCTCTCCTCCCCCAGAAGGGCATGCTCCAACCTGAGGGAGAGGACATGTGGGCAGAGGCTGGGCAGTTACGGCACCTGGGAGGTATTCCTACATAGAGAATGGATGAGGCAGGACAAGTCCCTGTCCCTGGATCCCTGCTCCCCATAACATAAAGGCATAGAACTAACCTACTTGTGGTTCAAATCCAATGGAAAAAGATCTCAGACAATTCTGGGAATTTCCCAGAGGATTTCTAGTGGGACAGTGGAAAGAGCACTGGTTCTAGGGCCAGAAGATCTGAGTTCTAATCCTGCCTTTCCTTCCATGGCCTCAGTTTCCTTGTCTGTAAAATGAAGGGATTGGGGTTAGATGACCTCTGAGTTCCCTTCCAGCTTTGGAGCTATGATGCTAAGTGATACCTCCAACTTTGAACTTGAGACCTTTCCCACTGTACCAGGAGCTAACCCCTTCTCACCATTTTTTAAAACAGATGTAAAGTGAAGAATCTTTTTGTAATCTGAATTATGTAATCTGAATTATCACCTTACTGTCCCTTTCAACAGGATTGATGGCAAATTGGTGATCCAATATGGAATAGGGAGCATGTGATATAATGGAAGGTGTATTATAGGTGGTGGAGTGGGCCGGGAGTCAGGAAGATCTGAGTTCAAATCCAGCCTCAGACATTTACTAGCTGTGTGATTCTAGGCAAGTCACTTAACCCTGTTTGCCTCAGTTTCTCACCTGTAAAATGAGCTGGAGAAGGAAATGGCGATCCACTCCAGTATCTTTGCCCAGAAAACCCCAAGAGGGATCACAAAGAGTCAGATGTGACGGAAACGGCCGACCAAAACAACAACAACACATTACAACCCCACCACGTGGGACACTCTATGGAGCGGATCCCCCAGCTCGGGCTCTGGATGGGGTCCTTGACATCTCCAGGTAACACAGCAGTCCTGATACACAGGGCTCACAGGCTTCAACACAGCTAGCTACCTCCTAGGCACCGATTTAGCAAAGTTTCCCATGGACCCTCTAATGTGGAATGTAGGGGGATTGGGGCAATGTCTGGCATGGACTCGCTTGTCCAACCCTCCTGCTACATGTATAGAAAGGACTTGCTGCTGAGGTAACCCCGCAGCTTGGGCAAGGCTTAGCTGCTGAGGGTAAACAAGGCTGGGGTCAGAGGGCTGGGAGCCTAACTAATGATGCTATTTAATATGACTTTTTAGAATGCGCTCAAGGGAGGCTCCAGCCCTCCCCCAACCCCTCAGCATGTGGGATAGCCCCCATGTGGCAAACTTAGGGGAAGATGTGGACAAGAGTCACATGGGATGGGCAGGTGGTCCTGGGAGACCTTGGACCTGCATTGTTGGAGGGAGTACTCCAGTGGATGAGATCATAGACCCATCTGAGTGTTTGAATACATTTAGTTAATAAATAAATTATAGAAAAACTCCACTCTGGATTGTAGGGATTGATTTTGTGATAAATCAAGTGTTAACAAACACAAAGGCACAAAGCCTCCTGTGGACAGTAAGTTACACTTTTGTGTGTGTGTGTGTGTGTGTGTGTGTGTGTGTGTTTAGCAATTTGCAAACCTTGCCCAGGTCATAGGCAACCCTTGTCTTGGCTCTGGGTTGCTCCAGGAATCAGCAGTGGCCACAACACCACAGGGGCACCAGTTAACCACCTTGGACCTCTTTCTAGCACTCATCTGCACACAGACAAAGCACAGGCTCCCTAGAAATTCATCCATGTTGGTCTCCACAGCTTGCCAGCACTTCGTTATTCCTTAGCTCAGTGTTATTTCGTGGGCTTGGAAAAAAATGAAACTAGATTTGTTTGAAAATGTTTAGGGACCAGAGAAGTGGGACTTGGGATAGGTGGCAGCAAAGCTCTTGCTTACCCTGATGTTGTCTTGCCAACGATGGGCCTTCTGGAATCTCTCTGCAGCATCGGCCAATCTCTGAGAGTGAAAGAACAAAGGCAATGGTCAGAGAGGCACCAACCCTACCCGCAATGCTCTCCATAAGACCTTCCCCTGTTGAATGACGTGCTCCAGGAATAATAATAATAGTTAGCCTCTGCTTTACGAACATGATCTCATTTTATCCTCACAAAAACCTTGGAAGGTAGATGCTATTATTATCCCCATTTTATGGATGAGGAAATGAGGTAGACAGAGGTTAAGTGACTTGCCCAGGGTCATACAGCTAGTCGGTAACTGAGTCAGACCTTTCTGACTCTAGGTCCAGCGCTCTATCCACTGTGCCATCCATGGAATTCTGTGATATTCCTTTTTTTTGGAAGATTGTACTGGCTGTACTCTGCCCCAGGCCCTTCTCCTCTTCCCTTCCTGGACCCTCACTCCTCCTTCTCCTTTACTTGTCTCCCAAGGTTCTTCAAGGGGAATTCACATAGGTGTGAGCGCCCAGGCAAGAAGGGGCTGCCTGACTCTGAGACAAAGCTGGCTAGAATAATCTCCATGGGGTTTTGGGCCATACCTCAGGCTGGCTATGATGCACAGCCCTTTCAACCTCCCCTAGTGGTCCCCTTGTCTATGCCTTAAGTCTAGGACTCCCCTACCCTCCAGAAGCTTAGGACCATGTGTATGTGACAGAGTTCCAAGGCTACTCCAGACATTCCAGTGGAGTTCCATTCCCCATCTCCAATTCTGCCGTAGAGTTCCAACCCTTCCTTCAAGGTTCTACCCACTCCAGGTGTCATGTCCGCCCCCTTCCATCCCAAATCCACTGAGCTCTCCAAAGTTTTCTTATTGCGCTTTGCTCTCCTTTCCACTTAAATTCTCCTTTGCATCACAATTTATTGTTTTATGTTTTTATCTACTTGCAACCCCCCAGCAAAAAATGGTGATACATTAATTGAGAGTAGAGTCTGTGTCATATACATCTTTATATTTTTCTTTCTACCTTTCGTCCGTAGCACAGGGTCTTATAGAGAATAAAGCTAAATAAATGTTGAGTGGTTGACTGGGGAACACAGCCTTGACCCTGAATTCTCATCCATTCCTCCTCCTCTATATAACATCACACGCAGCTGTCATTTGGAGGGTAAGAAGCACTGTCCTTCTGTTTGAGCAATCTTGTAGTCCAGGTCAGCAAATTACAGGTAGACAGCATGGTGACAGAGTGAAGCCTCATCTGGTCCCAGTCTTTCTCTGGTCCTTCCTGGGTGCCCTCTTTTCCTCCAAATATTCAGACCTGTAGGGAGGGACCTACCCTTCTCTAAGCTCTTCCAACCTTTATCATATGTAAAAAGTGAAAAACAAACCCAAGAAATCTGGTTCACTGTCTATATTTCATTTTGCCTTCTCTGCCTTGCCATTAGTGTCCTATCTCTCAATCCTCCTACATTCCCATGACTAAATCATTGGGGGTAGCAACACCACTCATGAATGCTTTTCTGGGTACTCCTACACACCCCAAAAGGCTGTTCCATCCTTGGCCTCCACACTCAGACAGAATCTTTCCTTTACAGGGCAAAGATCATTGAGCTGGAAGTGAAGAGAGAAACTAAGTATGTACTTATTCACCATGTGTCCATAACTGCTATGAGACTCAGTTTCCCCAACTGTAAAATGAGGGGGTTGGGTTTGAGGAGATGCCTTTTAGCTATCTCTGATGCCATGACGTTCAGTGTGGTGTGGCAAGAGGACTGGATTGAAGTCAGAAGACTGGAGTTCAGAGGTGTGCTGGAACCAGCTTGAACAGGCTTGAAAGAGCTGATTGTTGAGTTTTTCAGGGTGAGCACTTACACTTTGGAAATGTCAAATGCTGCAATTGGGGTTTGATTTATTGTTTTGTTGATTGTCTAGGTTTGTAATGTAGTGACGTCAAAAGTGTTAATAAAACAGATTAAACATGAAAGTATGTTGCACTTGAATTTTTTTTTCAGAAGGCTAGTAACTAAACATTTATCAGCACATACTTGCTTGGGGTCAATCCTAACTTGCTCCTTAGTATGTGATGTTGGACAAGTCAATATCCCTGGGTCTCATTTTCTTCATATGTAAAATAAGAGTATTGGATTTGATGATATTTAAAGTCTCTACTAGCTCTGACACTCTTCAAGTCTATGAGTCACTTTCCCAGCTGTGCTCAAATCAAACGCAAATCAATTCCACAAACATTGACTGATCCCCTATGTGAGCAGAGCCCTGAGCCAAGGACTGGTCCCCAGGGGCCCACAGCCTGGATGGGGAGACGGGATCTGAATATATGAAAGGTTAAATAATAATAAAGGATTAAAATAGCAGTTCAAGTCCACAGGGGAGATGCCCTGAGGCCTTATGGGTCTGTGATTAATTGCCAAATGTGTCTCTTTACAGACAATAAGAACTGAAGGAGCTTAGAGAAGATCCTTAACTGGTCTGAGTAGTTAGGGGAATCTTCCTGGAAGAGGTAGGATTTTATTTGGACCTTGAAAGATGGGTAAAATTTATAGAGATAGAGGGGGATGATGACAGCAAGGAAATTACAAGCAGAAGGACATGAACAAAGATAAGGAATTTGGAAAAGGAGGTTGGGGGAGGGGGCAACACAGCGCAATGAATGAAAAGTTGGTCAGGAAGACCTGGGTTCAAGGACCACTTCTGAGAAAGAATGGTTCTGTGGCTCTGGATAAGTCATTTAACCTCTTAGTGCCCAAGATCGCTCTCCAGGACTTCAGAAAAGATGCTGGGGGGCAGCTAGGTGGCGCAGTGGATAGAGCACCGGTCCTGGAGTCAGGAGGACCTGAGTTCAAATCTGGCCTCAGACACATAATACTTCCTAGCTGTGTGACCCTGGGCAAGTCACTTAATCCCAATTACCTCACTAAAAAAAAAAAGAAAGAAAGAAAGAAAGAAAGAAAAAAGAAAAGAGAAGAAAAGAAAAGAAAAGGTGCTGGTCTCCATTGGTAGAATATGTTCTGGCAGCTCCCCAAACCAATGAATGTAGGTGGGGGGACATTCAGGATCATAAGCTTTAGAGCAGGAAAAGGCCTTACAGACACATGGGGGAAACTGGGCCCAAAGAGGTGGCTAGAGCTGAGGGGATAGGGGAGTTCTAGGAAGGTGGGCAGAGGCAAGTCTTCCACTTAGTCCTGATTTGCACCTACTAACGAAATCCTTGCTTTTTCTTATTATTCATCTTCCTCTAGTTCATGGCTCAGGGTGCTTGGGTCCCTTCTGACAAATCCAGGGCTGTTGGCTCACTTCTCATGATTGGAGCTCATGTTTGATGGCGATTCAGAATATTCAGGGCACTCATTTGTGCTTATTCTTCACTCTCCCTTAAAACCCACCTCCTCCTTGGCACATATCCAATTAGTCACCACGTCTTGCTGAGTCTAGTGTTCAGTTCCAGCTCTCTCCTCCATCCCCTTCTTGACCCTCCTGTGGTTCTGATCCCAGTTCAGGCTCTCATCCCCCTTTGCCAGGACTATTACAACAGCTTCCTAGGTGGCCTCTCTGTCTCCAGTAGCTCCCCTCTCCAATCTATGTTCCACAAGGCTGTCAAAGTGATATTTCTATCTATCTACCTATCTATCTATCTATCTATCTATCTATCTATCTATCTATCTATCTATCTATCTATCTACTTATGTATGTATGTATGTATGTATGTATGTATGTATTTATTGCTCTATCCACTGTGCCACTTAGCTGCCCCCAAAGTGATATTTCTAAAGGGTTTAACTCCTGCTCAGGAAGCTGCAGTGTCTCTCTGCTACTTTCAGGAGAGACTACAAATACCTCTGTTAAGCAATTAAAGGCTTTTACCGTCTGGCTTCAGCTAGACATACTACATATGATTTCTCATCACTCATTCTTTATTCTAGTCAAACTGGTCTACCTCTGGTCTCCAGTACAACCTTTCCTCCACTTCCATGCTTCTTGGCCTCCTAGACCAGATTTAGTACAACCTCTTCTATGGATTTCTAGCCTGGTCCTCTCCTTGCTTCTTAGACACACCGATGCCCACTCTTTTTCACCCAAATTTTTCCTGCTGAAGTATTTGGGGTGGGAATGAAAGCCAGAGTTCATCCTCTTTGTACAGATGGGGAGACTGAGGCACAAGATAGTACAATAATGTATGTGGCTAGTACCATACAGCATTGAGTCCATGGGAAGAGCTGAGAACTGGAGCTAGGACCCCTGGCTTGGGACGAGAGCACCAAGCCTTTGCCTCTTTTATCTTAAGAGGGCAGTGGGACCTCCTGGACACAGCCTCCTCACATGGGAGTGGCTCTGGGCATTGTGATAGGAAAAATAAAAAAGAAATGAGGATTATTTATTATCTAATGAAAAGAGGAGGCAGTTGTGGCAGGAGCCCAGAGACTTTGGGTATGGATCAATTCTGTGTTGGTCAGTCAATTAAATTCAGAGAGCAGACCCAGAGCCAGAAGTCAGAGGAAGCTCCCTTTAGACCCATTCAGGGATAGGGATTGGAGATTCCCAATAGACTAGCCTATCTTCTCCTCAGAGAAGGGGCATTTAGATGGGAGGGGGTGGTGCTCTCTGAAACTTGGACCTTGTTTTAATTCAATCCAATAAACATATGTTAAGTATCTTCAGGTACAAAGTTTAGAGAAAACATGGCATCCTTAATGGAGCTCACAACTAGTAGGGTGCTAAGACACACTTCCCTGATAATTGATATTACATGATTAATGCATTAGAGAGGAACAAATAAAATATTCTGTGTGGTCTGAGGGGGAAGAGGTCATTGTGTCCTAAGGTGGTGGTGGAAATCAGGGAAGCCTTCATGAAAAAGGTGGCATTTGAGTTGAGCTCTAAAAGGTGGTTTCGAGTCCCCGCCCATTCTCACAGGTTTTTACCCCTTGTATATTTTTTTCTTTTTATTGGCTAGGCAATGGAGTTAAGTGACTTGCCCAGGGTCACACAGTTAGTGCGTGTTATGTGTCTGAGGCTGGATTTGAACTCAGGTTCTCCTGAATCCAGGA